TAATTAGTAAATGGTAACCTATTTTCAAACAAAATTTGACCTTTCCTTTTCGAATTCCAACATCAATCACTTAAATCAAGCTTTATGCGCACTTGCCCGACTCCTAAATTCGTATTTAATAAACATAATAAAGTTGTTTGTTGATTGATAGTCATCAGATAAGGGTGATGATGATGATGCTCATAAATTGATTAATTAAATAATAATAACAATAATAATATACGAATTTTTTTAAGAGGACCCACCATTGATTATTATTATTATTATTAGCCAATAAAAAGTCGTAGGATCATTCACTTTCGATTATATTGAAAAAAATTCAAGAGTATATATATATATATATATACATATATATATATATATATATATATATATATATATATATAAGGACAGTGTAATGTACGTACCTCAGATTGCATACGTATTTATTTTTTTAATGGTACGACAGATTGGATATTATTTGATTGATTTTTTAATTACAGTTAATTTTGAAAAATGTAGTGTAGTTAGTTATCAGTAGAAATTTTATGTTTTGAACTAAAATAATAATTAAAATCGATATGATGTAAAAGCAGGAAAAAAAAATAATTGAAAGAGATGGTTAATTAATATTATGCGAGTGAATATGAATAGTACATGAATTAAAATTGATAATGATATGCACGATTGATTGATTAATACTACCTCCTTTTTAAATAAATGTCGTTTTGACTTTTTTGATTCATCCATTTTACTATGTATCTAGACATTAATATGTCTAGATACATAGCAAAATGGATGAATAAAAAAAGTCAAAACGACATTTATATTAATGTCTAGATACATAGCAAAATGGATGAATCAAAAAAGTCAAAACGATATTTATTTAAAAAAGGAGGGAGTATTATTTAATTATATTGATAATACTGACGATAATTTGATTGAAATAAAACTGAGTTAAATTTCAGTTTTTATTGGTTTTTTTTTTATTAAGTTTATATCCAATCACACTCGTTCGCTTAATAAATTTGGACAAAAAGAATCCCAGGTTGTCACTAGTAATATATATAAATAAAAAAAAAAAGTTGGAAAATGTTGAAGTAATTTTGGGTGTATTTGCAATATATATGGAAAAGATGCCCTTAGTGATAAATTAATCATTTGTGAGGGGGTGGTTAGTGAAAAATGATCAATTTATTTATGTGGAGTGGAGGTGTTGTACAAAAGATTATTGCTAATATCAATTATATTATATTTTTTTATGGAGGGCTCCATCATTGATAACAACGACTTAATTATTGTTTGAAAGATTCTTTGAAAAATTATCTTCTTTTTTTTTTCTGTATGAGTTAAACAACATACATTATATTAATAATTTAAA